GGACTCACATAGTCAAAGGCTCAGAAGTAAAAGCGTAGCAAAATCCACAAGCTTGAATTTCATCCTGAGGAACAGGGCCAGGCTTTCCGCTAGCGAGTGACGGCCATGCTCACACTCTAGAACAAAATGATCGCTCTGGCTCCCATGTAGGAAGGAGGAAAGGAGGGGGCAGGAGCACAGACTGCAGTCAGTGTAGCATAGAGGTCAGAGGCACATGCACACGAGAGCTGGTGAAGAAACTAGAGAAGTGAACCAATTTAGATCTTAAGTAGTAAAATCAGCGGGACATGTTGATTAACTGGGCGTGGGGCCAAGAAAGGACATCAACTGAAGATGATTCCAGCCTGACAACTCAGACTGCTGGGTGGTTGGTGGATTATTCACTGCGGTTGAAAATCGAGAACAAAAGCAGTTTTGGGCAAAGATCATGCACTGAGGTCCTGCTATATGGCACTTGAGATATGGGTGCACCACCAAAGTAGAGGTACCCCGTAAGGCATGGGTCTGGTTCTTGGGAGAAAGGAGAAGGCTGGAGATGGAGTCTCAAGAATGATTAATGTACAGATGCCAACTGAAGTCATGGGAGCAGATGGGACTACTCAGCAGGTGAATGCAAAGTGAGCAAAGACAAGCTTGGGGCCCCAAATGTTGGTAGGAGTCAAAAACTTAAATATGATCAAATAATTTCAACCTTTACACGGTATTCTCTTTTTATTTACAATTAGATATGAAGCCAACTTCCCTACAGAACACTCAGTTAATGTCCTATCAGTCTGAAGCCTGGCACAGAACTATTTATGAAAGAAACAAAGGGCTTGGTTTTCTCCATTATTACCATTATTGAGTGTTATATTCTAGACCCCCAACTTATTAAATCGTCCTGTTAGTGCTGACTAATACTAGATTCATCACAAATAAATCAGATCATTCTATAACTAAACATAAAGTGTAAACCCACAAATAAGACTCACATTTTAATTTTTTTGTTAAGATTTTATTTATTTATTTGACAAAGAGAGACACAGGGAGAGAGGGAACACAAACCGGGGGAGTGGGAGAGGGAGAAGCAGGCTTCCTGCTAAGCAGAGAGCCCGATGCGGGGCTCGACCCCAGGACCATGAAATCATGACCTGAGCTAAAGGCAGACTGAGCCACCCAGGTACCCAAGACTCACATTTTTAAAGAGGTCTATAATTACTAAATAAAACAGACCCTCACCCTGCTAATACTTTTTAAAAGTATATAAATTGTAATTTGGTACAGTACACAGCTGCTTATTTTGCTCAGCAGTTAATTCAATCAGAAATGTAGATATTATGAAGCAAGTTAAATCCAGAAGAAGTAAAATAATAGTGAATTTGCTTGAAATTGGTTTACTTGTTAGCAACATTGCAAATTTTGAGTGTGCTTTTTTTTTTAAGATTTTATTTCTTTCAGAGAGAGAGAGAGAGAGGGCTTGCGCACATGCAAGCATGAGCTAGGGGGAGGGGCAGAGGGAGAACCAGGCTTCCCGCGGAGCAGGGAGCCCGATGTGGGACTCAATCTCAGGACCCTGCGATTATGACCTGAGCCAAAAGCAAACACTCAACTGACTGAGCCACCCAGGTGCCCCTGAGCAGCATGCGTTTTTAAAAGAAAACTTAGCCCACTCCTCCTCTTTCATTTCAAAATCACCTATGATGCTCTGGTTATACAGAAATCAGACTAGTTCCCATATATAAGCCCTCGATCGCAATGTACGACACATCATAATAAGGTATCCACAGAGGAATTACAAAGCCACTGATGACAAAACACTCTCCAGTGTAAGAAACAATAGTGAACATAGCAGTCAATATATACATATATGTGAACACTAGGTATGAAGTGTAGATGAACAGTTTTGTGTGTACCCTCCACTCACAAAACAAACACATTGAGATTACCTCTAGAAAACAGAAGTAGGAATGGGGAAGGAAGCTGGAGGAAACATTCACTCTTCTTACTTTAATTTTCTGTTTAAAAATGAAATGTGAAAACCAGTAACACTGAATCCACCCTTATGGGCGTGAGGGATATCACGCCTCATAATACCTCAATAGCCTCCCTCACACGACTCATTGATGCCATGGCCCCACACATCAAATGCTAAGCTAGGGCGCCTGGGTGGCTCAGTTGGTTAAAAGACTGCCTTCGGCTCAGGTCATGATCCTGGAGTCCCGGGATCGAGTCCCGCATCGGGCTCCCTGCTCGGCAGGGAGTCTGCTTCTCCCTCTGACCCTCCTCCCTCTCATGCTCTCTGTCTCTCATTCTCTCTGCCTCAAATAAATAAATAAAATCTTTAAAAAAAAAAAAAAAAAAAAAAACAAATGCTAAGCTAATGAACCAAAGTTATGTCCCTCCGGGGCAAATATATTATAGATTTTATGCTACAAATTCACATCCTCTATATCAATTTCCATTCCGAGGGCATTTGCCTCCTGTTCATTACTGTTCATAGTTCAGTTTGTCAGTTTAATTTTGTGCTGCTTTGTAGGAATCCACAATAATTACAATGTTTAATTCTGTACCTGAAGGGTAAGCTAAACAGGGCAGTTTAAATGCGTATGTTCTGGCCAATCTTTGACTCCCATCCCGCCTCTACACATCCCCATCCCCCTCACACATACAAGCATATGCCCTAGTTGGCTTATATATGATATCTTCCATCTTACTAGCTATTTTCCCATTACTTTCTACAGTATATCTGACGATGACATTATTATTGATGCTACAGTAAACAGTTAATATATGTGGTCAAAGGACATGCACCACAATGAATCAAAATGACATATCCACCCACCAAACTCCCTCAACACATTCTAATCAAATAATGTTTTTTTTTGTCATGAGTGTACTACAAAAGGAGGAAGTAGCATTGGAGAAAAAACATAAAAACTGGGAAAAATAAAAGTAAATGTTTAGGTCATTGAAACTGGAAAGAAAGTTCATCCAGAAGATATATGTAATTTGTCGGTTCTATACATAGTCTTCTTAATTTGAAGTTCCTTGAAACGAATCTCAGTTTCACATGAATAAGATAGATAACATCACCATAAAATAGTCTATCTAGAATTTATCTTGTAGGAAAAAGGATGGCTTTGTTTTCATAATTTCCTTTTTCTTATTATTATTACTAATGATCTTACATAAATCTCGTATCGTTCCGTTACAGAATTTTTGCTTTACAAAATGAGGCAAAAGTAATCCAATTATTTTTCACATTCCCTATTTTTATTAGGGAAGTGTTACTTCAAACCTTCTATTTTAGTATTTTTTGTTTTGTGTTCCTTGGGGATTGAGTTGCACCCTTATTAAAAACAAAACAAAAGCCAGGAAAAAATATGAATACCACAGGAAATAGAAAGCTACACCTAATCAGAATGTTAGAACAAAAATAAAATTTGGGCTTAGAAGAGAAATTAGAACTCTGGATCCAAATTCCACGGCCTATTAGGTATAGGATGTTTGGCAGGTTACTTAAAATTCTGTAGCTCAGCCCCCTGACAGGTAAAACAAGCACAATGGTAGTAATCTCCCAAGATTCATATAGGAGTAAACAAAATAAAACAGTACCTGACACACAGGAGAGATCTTGTAAATATTAGTTCTTATTAGTAGTACAGATTAGGAAGCTGAGGCCCAGAGAATTACCATGCTTTCTTCGGAACAATTTAATGAGCTAATGGCACAACGGTCATTAGAACTTGGGTCGTCTGATTAATTTGTATGCTTGTTTGCTTAGGTTTCTTCTCTCTTAAGATCACTCTATTTGCAGTCTGGAGAAATTACTTTCATAGGAGAAAGTGAGAGAGAGAGCGAAACTCCCTCAGATAAGCATAGCCTAGATGCCGAAAAAGGAAAAGAGGAACACTAGGTGTCCATGTGTGCGTGCACACACACACACACACACACACACCAAAATAAGAAACAAAAATGATGGGTGGAAGGTTGAGAGCAAGTGACACAGACACAAAACCTCCAATTACTTTATTATGATGCAATTCATTACAGCATAATTACATTTCTTATAAAATGATTAATCATAAGGTTAGAAGAAAAGCTTATGTTGAATGTTAATTATACACCCTTTAAAGAATTTTAAAGACATTAACAATGGTAATCTCACAGACTCTCTGTCAGTTGTCCTAAATTAAACTCTTGGAACGCAATTTGGCACTATCTTTAAAAATTCAAAATCATGTATCCTTTTACTCATCGATACAGCTGGGAAGAATTTACCCTACAACTAATTTGTGAAGTGTGCAGAAATGTGTACAAAAAGATGCTTGGTCCATAACTGGCAATACCAAAAAAGTTAAGCATTCATTAAAGAAGAAGTAACAACTGTGGTGCGTTCATGTAATGGAATCAGTGGGATGAGACCAAAGGGTCCTCTGGACAGGTTATAAAATGAAAAGGAGAATTTAGGTATATAAGAATAACCCATCTCTGTTTTTCTAACAAAGAGAATAAATATTCGAATGTGTTAGGAGTAGAAAATGTTGCAAAGACCTAAGAAACTAGGTATCTCTGGACAATGGACTGAGGTCAGGAGGACAAGAAGATAGGAGTGAACATTTTTTTTCATGATATATGGATATTACGTATTTAGTTTATATATATATATCATATAAATGATACTTTACCATACACACTGATTTTTAAATTAAAGGAAAATAAGTTAAAATAAATCAAAGATTATAAAAAACAAAACAAAACAGAAATAGGCCAATGGGCATAATGGAGCACAAATTAAGAGCAGAGAACTTGAAGGTTTCACTTACATAGAGTTGAACATTCCTTTTATTTATTCATTTATTTCAGAGAGAGAAAGAGAGAGAGCATGTGGAGGAAGGAGCAGAGAGAGAGGGACAAGCTGACTCCACGCTGAGCTGGGAGCCCAACGAGGGACTCGATCTCAAGACCCTGAGCTGAGCCAACTGAGCCACCCAGGTGCCCCTGTAGCTGAACATTCTTACCTGACACTTAGCGCTACAGTATTTTGCAACTCGGCATTGAGAACACCGCATCAGCTTTTCCTTCCTGTTAAAAAAAAAAAAAAAAAAAAAAAAATTCACATTAGGAAATGAGTGAGAACCATATATGTTTGAAGAAAGAAACATAAATCAACATACTGATGCCAATATTTTCTGCTCACCCCACTGTACGCTCCTGTAAGATTCAGATTTTCACATTGATAAACATCTTTCATCTTCAATGTAAGACATGGACATAACAGCTAATGGTCCCTTTTTTAAATTGTGGTGAAAAATATGTAATATAATATTTACCACTTTAAACATTTTTAAGTATATACTTCAGTGTGTATTAACAAGTTAAAAAGTCAAGGCCCAAAATGGAGTCGCTTTTCCTAAGCCCTATTATCATGTTTGAGACTTAACTACAGTTTTGGCTCTTCCAAAAATGAAATCTTAAACCAGTCAATCACGGGTACTAGTTAGGTAACCTGCTTGGTAGACCCCTGGTCTCCCCTAAGGAAAGTAACCCACTTTTCACCTAGTATAATTTTCTTGTTGCTGCTCTCTCTGCCTAGAGAAGTCTTTCATTTTGTACAGCATCTCAGGGCTAGTTTCTATCTGCTACATTGGATGCTGCCCAAATCATGAACCACTAAATAAAGCCAATAAGATCTTTAAACTTTACTCAGTTGAATTTTGTTTTTTAGCAAATGGCATTAAGTACATTCACTTTGTTCTGCACATTACAACCACTAATGTTCATTTGAATAAAAAATTAATTAAAATCAGAGATTCCCATTGAGAGCAAAAATTTTACTCCACAGAGGTTTTAACTCTCCATATGAAATACAGAATCCAGTCCCATCAACTAGTTGAAGTATTCTATACTCCTCAGATATAAAAATTTTGTAAGTCTTAACTTATCATATAGTTTAATTATGAATATACTCCTTCTGGAAAATGATTTTAAAATTCCATTAAATCCAGTTACTTTAGACATCCTGAATTGAGATGCTCTAAAGATACATCCCCCTAAATCACCTGTGTAACAAAAAAGCAAAAATGAAAAAGTTGAATTATAAAATAAGAATAAATGTGATGATAAAATTAATAGTGACAAACAAAAGGCAGGAAGGACTGTGGATAAATAGAGGGTACCCAAGAGCATTAAAAGTCAAACTGTAATATTACTATTAGTAACAAAAAAAGAACAAATCCTTCTAAGCACTTCTAATGCACCAGGTACTCTTCATAGATTTTTACATCGATGACTTACACTTACTTTCAAACAGTCCTATAAGTAAGCATTCTTATTATGACAACTTTACAGATACTTTAATTCATTTTCAAGAGATAAAAAGTAAAGAGCAGTGCAAACACCATAAAGGGCAGGTGGCAGGGATACTGAAAGGGTAAGCAAGAATCCTAAAGAGAATAGGAACCTAAACATACCTTCACTTCTGGGACAGCGAGGGTCAGACATGGAACATAAAACACAGGGAGAGGTTAAAATCTAAGTAAAGGGAAGCCAAAATGCCTCCCTTCACCAAGTATAGAATTGTAGCCGCCACATATCAACACCCCAGGCAACAATGCAAACCCAGTAATCTGGCCTTCAAGTTCTTGGCTTTGACCATCAACCATATTACCGCTCTTGGATAAAAATGGATACAAACAAAATCCACCACGGGGCGCCTAGGCAGCGAAGTTGGTTAAACAAACAACTTTGGCTTTGGCTCAGGTTGTGATCTCAGGGTCGTGAGATCAAGTGCCAGGTCAGACTCCGCACTCAGCACAGAGTCTACCTGAGATTCTCTCTCCATCTGCCCCTCCCACTCATGCTCTCTCTCTCTCTCTCCAAAATAAATAAACCATTTAAAAAAAAATCCACCCACTGGCTTTTTATGAGACACACTTCAAATAAAAGGACATACAAAGGAGGATGAAAACGATATGCCAGGCAAATATTAACCTGAGAAAAAGCCTGTGTAACTACATCAATTTCAGGGGGAAAAAAGGACTTTACAGTTAAAGATCTTGTCAGAGATGAATAAAGTCAATACTCAATGATAAGAGACTCTGATCCCCAAGGTGTAGGAACCTAGTGACAAATATACCCAGTCTCAAAATATAAGAACAAGTAACAGATCTGAGGGAAAAATGACCAACACAGTAAGTTAATACATGTTAAGGCCCTTAAAATAGTGCCTGGAATATAGTAAGTACCATGTAAGTATTAGTCATACCTATAGAAAGATATAAAGTCTTTTTCAGGAATTCACAGACCAAGCAGATAAAGAATAAGGAGCTGAATAATTTATTTGATCTCATAGTAAGTACAGACCCTTACACCTGTTATATTAAGTATATTCAAAAACTCCTTTTAAGCATCCACTGATCATTTACAAAACATGCCCAGAAAGTAGACCACAGAGCAAATTTCAACTCACAGCCCTGAGATCAACAGTCACACGCTCTACTAACTGAGCCAGACAGGTGTCCTGAAAATACGAGATTAAATAACGAAAAAATATAAAAACTTGTGAGATAAAGCAAACATCATACTTACAGGAACATTTGTAACTTCAAATGTTTACATTAAAAAGAAAAACTGAGGGGCGCCTGGGTGGCTCAGTCAGTTAAGCATCCGCTCCTGATTTCGACTCAAGACATGATCTCAGGGTTGTGGGATCAGGCCCTGCGAGGGGCTCTGCACTCAGTGAGAAGTCTGCTTGGGATTCTCTCTCTCCCTCTGCCCCTCCCCCACCCCTCTCTCTCTCAAATAAATAAGTAAATCTTAAAAAAAAAGAAAAACTGAAAATCAAGGAGATAAACATGCAAATCACGAATTTAAATGTAAAAATAGCAGAAAACAAAGGAAAGCAGGAAGTTACACGACAAATCCACAAAACGAAATAGAATACAATGACATAATAGAGAAGACCGATAACATAAACAAATGTCTTGCAAGATTACATAGGAGGAAGTTTACAAATAAATAACAAAATGGAATGGAACTCAAGATTCAGTAGACTGAAAAACAAACAGGAGAGAATTCTGACAGAATTTTCCAATCTCCTTAACTCTCCCCATAAAAAAAATGACAGTGCAAGTAAGACAGCAAACCTGAGTATCACTCCCCGCCCTGGGAAACATCCCAACAAACCCAAAATATGAACGAGGAGAGGAAACCACTACCAGCTCTGAGACTTAAATCAATATATTTGTGGGAGAAAAACAAAGAAGGCAGCTGGGCTCCCAATAAGCCTGAAAACAAAAGAAGCCCCAAACTGCCAAAAGATACCCAGTGTGTCCAGGCACCCTGAGAACAGGTAGCCAAAAGCGGGGGAGGATGCTTTGTGCAGGAACAGTCCTGAGGATGAGTCACTGGGGTCCCCTGAATGCCACCTTCCTCAGACCTGGCTCTTCAGATTTTCCCTCATCTCCCTCTTTCTGGTATAAGTTATTCAGAGGCAACTTCTGTTCCTTGCAAATTAAAAGCCCCAGCAGTATGAAGTGTTTCTTCTCAATTTTAAAAATTAATGAGCAGAATCAAGATACCTCAGGTCAGTGATGAGCAGGTTAGCAAGTCAAACTCTGTCCTCTCCCTCCCATAGCTACCAACCCAGAGCTTTAATGAATTTTAACACAGAATGTTGGCAAAGTAAATACCAAAATTAGTCCAAGTGCCTAAATAATTTAATCATTTTGATGTGTGAAGGAAACTCCTTGAGTTATTTAAATGTTCAGTTATTTTTATATATCAAATAACTAAGCAAATTTTTCTCAAGTTTCAAAAAAAGGTCAACTGAATCCAAGAGAAAAGTTTGTGTGTTTGATCAGAAAACCACTGAGCCTTGGTAGAGTTACTGCTTCTCTCTCAGGGGGAAGATTCAGAGCAATAGCATCTTGTGAAGCGAATTCCAGCCCTGCAAAGGGGAATGAGTTAAATGACTTTCCTTCCAATACTAAAATGATTTGGTTCTGCTTCTCTTGTACAGCCAACAAATATAAACTAGATTTGAAGATGACAAAAATGGTGCACGTTCTAAGGCAAATTGCAGTAGTCTCTGAGGCACAGAGAAGTAATGAATACAGAATTTTCACAGATTGCAGAAACATCCTGCTTGCAAAATAATTAGCTCAGGTCCAAATGGACTTCCTGAACAAAAAGCAATCTGCCCCTCCCCACCACTCATGCGCTCTCACTCTCTCAAATAAATAAATAAAATCTTAAAAAAAAAAAAAAAAGGGCAAAGCAATCTAAGGAAATAGGTTAGCAATGTATCAGTAAGAGGAAATGAATAATTTTTTTACCTCTTTTGCCCTCTCCACTTAAGAGATAAATAGTATTCTACCCCCAAATAGAAGATATTAAAATTATTTTACACCAAAATCAGTGTTATCTTTAACTCTACCCACTAAAATAGCAAAAAGGAATCCCCTATCACTTATTCATGCAAACTGTGATATGCTGTAGAACAGTGTCAAATCACAGAAAATTCTTAGGTTGCTCAGTGCCCCAGATACAGTGTGGTTCATAGAGCAAAACAAGTCCTCTCTTCCAAGTAAAGTCTGGGACATAATGAGTTTCTCCAACAGCATAGGCAACAGAAATGTTGAAAGGAAATGAAAACAGAGCAAAATTACTTATTCTTCCAGTATACAAATTAAGAAGTTATATATGAATACAGGAGAAACCACTGTCTCTAAAAAAATCAAAGAAGAAATGATTAATTGGCTCCTTCAAATCACAATAATTGGGGTAATATTTAAGGGAATGTCTCTTTGTCCCTGGTTATCAGCGGGAGAAAGTATCCCAGGGTTTAAAACTCTGCCCTAAATTAATATGGGCAGGTGCCAGGCAGAGGAAAAGAAGTTTCCTGGAAAGAATATAGAAAACAAACAAATTCTAGTGATTGAAATTCCCACCAGCGTGGGCACCTGCAGAATCCATTTTAAACTTTGTGTAGAGAAAACAGTGTATCTACAACACATTCATATATGGTATGCTTAGTACACAGGCAATATGTCTTGATCCCCTAGAAGTCTCCCAGTGTGCCT